ACCCATGTTTCCATTAGGTAAACTTCAACCCCAAATTTGCGAAGCAAGTAGGGAGCACGGAGCCCCTCCCAAACCGAAAGGGTTCCTTCTTCAGCGCCCCGACTGTACCCCCTCGTCCGACGTCATGCCGCCTTCGCGACGTGGGCCCGCGGGGACTCTCGACCCCCTGGCCACAGTTGTGCATCCCGAGTCGTTTTCGCACTGCCCTGGGGCTCGAAGCGGGCTTCCAGAGTCCCCAGCTGAAGCGATCGTTTTTTGAAGCATTGTTTTGCCGATCGGCGCGGGCCCTCGCATCCCCCCCTCCCCCCCCCCATCGTGGAGTAGATCTTGGCTGTTCTTAGCGCCTGTTTCGAGCAGGATGAGTCTCCTCCATGGGACGCACTGTTGCAAACAGTCGCGTGAAGCAGAGGTCCGGAGCCAGACCCCCCTCTCCCTCCCCCCTTCCGCCCAATGTTGGAACGCCGACTCAGAAAATGTTGACCCGAGGAGATTCCAGCCGTCTCGATCGTCTCTTGACGCTGGGATCTCAGGGGTGATCTCCGATTGGAAGCCTCCAGGTGGCCAGGCTGACTTACCTGATCTACGGAGCACGCTCGCAGGCGCGCCGCCGCGTCATCCTTACTTCGCTCCGCTCACTCGCTCGCTCGCCCGCAGCGCAAGGGCGGGAGCTACGTAGAGCGAGCAGTGCACGAGGGGGCAAGCATTAAGTCGGGCCTGTTCCTCTACAGGAGGAATATTCAAAAATGGTCAAACCATAGTCTGGGGATAATGTTTGTTTAGATTGTTTTTTATATTTCTGATTGTTCCTCCAACAACCCCCTGTAGGAGGGCACGCCAGACCTAAGGCAAGCACGAGGGCGAGGAGGAGTGCTGGAGAAACTGTTCTAGACGTCTCGACGGCCTTGCCGTTTTTGGGGGCCTCCGGGGGCCATGGAGGCTTCAGGAGATCTCTGGAGACCCCCGTACTCCGAGCTTCTTAATAAGCGTCGGGGAGGCGTCGCCCCCGCCGACAGCCCCACACCGACCCACGTCGCGGGCGGCCACCGCGCGCCGAAGGCACGCCGACCCCCGTCGCGGCGCGACGACGAGGCGAGGCCGACCCCCGGCGGGGGGGTTACCCCCCGCGCTCATCGAGAAACCCAGAAAAGGCCGGAAGAAGACCTCTGCAGATCTCTGGGGACCTCCACGGGCTCTTGGGCGCCCGGGCGTCGGGAGCGAGGTCGCCACGGGCGGCTTCGCCCGCCCCGAGGGGCCTCGAGACCTCCCAGTGGTCTCGGTCTGGCCAGAGGCATCGGGCGGAAAGGCGGTTCCGAGAGCTGGAGTCGGAGAGGACAAGGGGGGGATGTCATGGCTGTGGCCAGGACGTCGCCAAGACCTCACGGCCCCCTTTGACAGTGGAGACCCATGCCAAGGAGCACCCTGCTTGCCTCCAGGGTGCCCTGGGTGTCTTAGGCTTCGATGGTTTTGCGATGGAAGGCGTGACGTTCCCACGCCAAAGATCAACGGACGTCCTGGGGTCTCAGGGTTGGGTTTCTTGTGGAAGGTTTCTTGTGGATTGGCCTCCGCGCGTCTGCGTGTTTTGCACGCGCGGGCAGAGGGCGAAACGGCGCGGCCGCCAGCGCCCAAACACGGTGCCGACTGAGTCGGGCACCCTCGGCAGTTGCGCGATACGACACACACCAGTCGCATACCACGCGGCACGGTACCACACAACCACGCGAGCGCATTTGCTGGGAAGGAGCAAGGCCTGCAAAAGGGGCACGACAGGTGCACGGTGATTCGCCCCCTTGTTTGTGGCCCCCCCACCGCCCCATTACAGGCGACACGCACAGGGCAGCGGATCCGCCCAGGCCCCCGCGTGCGGGAGTGGGGCCACCACGAGAGCGCCCCGCGAAGAAGGCGGCCGACAGGCAGCGCGCAGCCTGCCCCCAGCACTGACGGGCTCGTCGCCGTCGTCTGTCACGCCGGGGCGGCCAGGTTGCCGGCAAGGCCGCGCGTCCACCGGCGGCGGGGGCGGAAGCGGGGCGGGCCCGAGCCCCGCGGCGGACCGCGCTCGGGGTGCTCCTGCGCCCCTCGCCCCGTCCCTGCGCGTGCCGCGGGCTTCCGCTCGCCTGCGCACATGCCCATGCGCTGCCTTGTGCGTCGCTGTCGTCGTATCGTCTGTAGTCCTCGCCGTCGTCGTTCGGCTTCGTCGCCGTCGTCGTCAGCGTCGTCGTCAGCGTCGTCGTCGTCGTCGTCGTCGTCGTCGTCGTCGTCGTCGTCAAAGCGGCCTCGTGCTGTTCCCGGACCTCGTGCCCCTCCGCGGGCGCCCGCGAGGCCAATCTGGCATCCCGGAGTCCTCGAACCCATCCGCCGGCCTCCGCTCCTCTGCGCGCACGCCTCCGGCCACGACGCGCCCCCCCTCGCTCTGCCTGCACGGTTTCCCCCGGGGTCGTATCGTAGGCGACCCGAGGAGGAGGAGGAGGAAGAGGAGGAGGTGGAGGAGGAGGAGGAGGAGGTGGAGAAGAGGAGGGGGGGGAGGTGGTGAAGAGGAGGGGGAGGTGGAGAAGAGGAGGGGAATGTGGAGAAGAGGAGGGGGAGGAGGAGGAGGAGGAGGAGGAGGGAGGAGGAGGAGGAGGAGGAGGGAGGAGGAGGAGGAGGAGGAGGAGGAGGAGGACGGGTCGCCTAAGCCCTTCCGAGAAACCTTTCCAGCTCTGCATGGTTCCTCGGCGCTCCAGTCGGAGCTCTGGCCGCAGCCCCCTCGCGGCGCCTTGCGAGCGTCCTCCACCGCGCCGTCCGCGTGCAGACGGGGCCACCCGCAGGGACGCGCGGGCAGCCGCGCCCCGCGCTGCTCGGCCTGTGTCGCGGTGGAGGGTTTCGTCGAAGGGCTTAAGCGGCCCGTCCTCCTCCTCCTCCTCCTCCTCCTCCTCCTCCTCCTCCCCTCCTCCTCCTCCCCTCCTCCTCCTCCTCCTCCTCCTCCTCCTCCTCCTCCTCCTCCTCCTCCTCTCCTCCTCCTCGGGTCGCCTACGGCCCCGGGGGAAACCGTGCAGGTCGCGGGGGGCTGTGCGCTTCTGGGGGGGGGGGCGGCGCTACGAGCGCGAAAGGCGGACCGTGACGCTCCGCGCGGCGCGAGGCGCGAGGGGGATTCGATGACCAGGGTGCACCTGGCGCTGCGGCCTCATCCTGAGCGCAGCCATCCCCCCCCCCCAAGCGGCGGTCGCCGCTGGGGGCATTGAGCAAACTTGTAGACGGCAGTACAAGGGCTCAAAAGAGACTACGGAGGGCACAGTCGAGTTTGATCAGTAGATCGGCCCTGCCCAAGCAAGGGTACCCTTGTGTGCTGTGTTTCGCGACCCATGCCCTCTACGTATCACTGGCAATGTGGCCACCGGAAGGGTCTCGTGTCCTATCGCGTGTCCTCTCCAATCCACCCCGACTGTTAAGGATCCCCCGCGGGGGCGGGCGGGGTCCTGGTCCCGGTGTGGCCCCCAGGACCGGGCAGAGAGCGACACCCACTGATCTTGGGACCATGCTCTGGCCTTGCCAGGACTGCAGACCTCCGACTCCGTTTCTGTTTTTTTTGTTTGTCGGTGCTCCCCAGGAGTCCTGTGCCAAGTCGAGCATGTCCCTCTAGAGGAGGAGCATTCAAAAATAGTAAAGAAATAATCAGGGGACGAGTTTAGGATTACTTTTTGACTATTTTGGTGCATGTTCTGACTATCTTTAATCTTTCGCCCAAAATCTGCCTTCAGGGGGACATGCCCGACCTAAGCCTCGTGCCCAGCTGCGGGGCCGGCTTCTCATAGGGGCCCGAAAAGGCAGCTCTGCAGGCGCCGGCGTCGGGCGGAGATTCTCCGCCCCTGCCTGGGGGTTCAGGGCGCTTGGAGCTCTGGTCTGCGCAGCGGGGAGGAGCAGAGTCGGGGTGGACAGACCTCCTACCCTGACACGTCGATGAAGGAATTGGCCGTTTTCGGCTCGCGAGGGGGCGTCGCGGCCGTCATTTTTGCGGGTCCAGGTCCGTCGGTTTCGATCCCAGGCCGTTTTCACGAAGGGGAGGTTTTTTAAAGGGAGTTTTGTCCACCGCCGACGAGGCGAGAAGCCGGATGAGGACGAGGAAGAGGGAGGAAGAGGAGGCGGCCGACGCAGGCGCGAAGGTCGAAGCGGAGGTTGCGGAGGCAGTTGGCAGTGGAGGAGGAGGCTGAGGAAGATGAGGAGGAGGGAAGGAGACCAGGGAGGAGGCCGAGGAGGAGGAGGAGGAGGTATAGGAGGGTAGGTGGAGAGAAATGAGACGGCGGCGGAGGAGGAGGAGGAGGAAGAGGAGGGATAGGCGAAAATGTTGAGGGGGCGACGGAAGAGGATGAGATGAGGGGACAAGAAGGGTTGGTTGGTTGGGTAGAACGGAGCAAGCAGCGAACATGGAGGCAACAGGAGGAGGAGGGAGGAGTAGGACGAAGGGAGGGTGAGGAACAGCAGCAGAAGGGGTAGCATGACCAATGGGATAACTACCATGAGGACGAGTACAGGGAGGAGGAAGAGGAGAAGGAGCCGCTTGAGCAGCAACAGGAGAGGGGGATGGGAAGCAGGCGACGGGAAGTGTAGGGGTTGAGAGAGAGAGAGAGAGTAGGAGGAGGGGGGAAGGGAGAACATGGGGCGGACGACGAGGTGTAGGATCAGGAAGCGCGGGGGTAGGAGGAGGTGGAAGAGGCGTAGGAGGAATAAGAGGAGGAGGAGGGATGAAGAGGAGGATGAAAAGGAAATGTAGGAAGGGAGGAACGGGGAAAAGCAACAGGAGGGAAGCGGAGGATGGACACAGGATGGGCGCAGGATGAGGGACGTGGAGAAGGAGGAGGAGGAGCAGCACGGGGAGAGGAGGATGAGGAGGAGGAGGAGGAGGAGGAGGAGGAGGAGGAGGAGGCCGGGAACGGGATGCAAGGAGGGGGTCATGAGGAGGGGTTGGGGAGGAGAGAGGAGGAGGAGGTCTCTCTTCGCCGCTTCTCCCTCCCTTGCCGCGCGCGCTGGAGGTCGAGGGAGCTGGTCCTGACAGCCTGTGGTTGTTCCGCGCAGGCGCGAACGCTGAGAGATCCAGGGGGTCTTCCTCCGCCTACTCCTCCTCCTTCCCTCGTTGTCTTCGTATCCAGTTCAGGGACGGGCAGTTGGTCATGACAGGGGAAGGGTCACGGGAACACCTATACATGTTTGTGTGCATATAACCACATATATATATAGGTATGTACATGCACACCGACTTATACATACATATATACACAGAGGCAGAGAGACGCATCTATATATATATATAGAGAGAGAAGGGACAGAGGGAGAGGGAATGGGGGGGAGAGAGAGAGAGAGAGAGAGAGAGAGAGAGGAAAAGGGAGAGAACACACACACACACAAGAGAGATAGATAGAGAAAAGACGCAGAGAGAGAGAGGTGAGGAGGAATATGATGATGATGATGAGGAGGAGGAGGAGGGGGAGGAGGAGGAGGAGGAGCAGGAGGAGATAGAGGAGGAGGAGGAGGAGGAGGAGGAGGAGGAGGAGGAGGAGGAGGAGAAGGGGGAGGAGAGAGAGGGGGGGGCGGCTGGCTCGAGCGCCCTCGACTTTGCACTCACGATCCCCGCGGGAGCGCCCGGGCACCGTGGGCCACGCTCTGGCATCGCTCCTCTCATCCCTCCTTTTTGACCGCGCTACCAGCGTCCGTAGCCATTTTGGCTCAAGCCATTTTGGCTCAAGTCCGTAGCGTGGCCCAACGTCGCCTGCGGATGCGAGATTTTGGCATAGGGGAGGCAGCGGCCCCTACCGTTCTCCAGAGCTTTTCAGCTTACGCTATTGGGGACTGCCCCACACTTCACTCCAGCACGAATACATCCTGTAATCTCACGGGCTACGGAAGGGCCATATTCGCTCTCGCTTCTCGGTCGCGGCCATGGCACCGCCCAAGGCAGCCAGAGAGAGAGCGGCACGGGCCAAACGTTGGGTGTGCAGGTTCTGCACACACGAGAAGACTGGCGAGCCATGGCATAATCATCCAGATGCTGTTTCTTGTTTTCTGTGTGGTGGCGCCAAGGGTCGTTTATACAAATGTGATTTGCCGCCGCCTACTCCAAGTGTGCGTGTGCCTCAGCCTGCTGGCGGTGCTACGCGCGCTACCCTCGACGCCAAGGACAGAACTTGCTGCTCTTCGCAAGCACGTTCAACAAGTTCTCTCGGCCCAAGCTGCTCGATGCTGATCCGCAGTCCCCGCCACAGCAGGTTGCTGGCCCGAAGGAATCGGACCTCCAGAAGGAGCAGAAGATGCTCGAGGCTGCTGAGGCTGCCTTGGCTTCTCTTGAACACGTTGCGCAAGTCCAGGGCGTTGCTCCGAGCACGGTCTCTGGATATGCCGGCGCTGACAAGGCCGTTCGGGATTTGCGCCAGGAGATACACGCTGCCAAGCCTCTTGGAGCCCAGGTCCACAGCATCGGCAATAATCTCCAGAAGGCCGACCAGCAGATTGCCAAGCTTCAGTCCTCCATTGAAGCAGAGGACAAGGCTGTGGCAGAAACGCAGGCTCTTATCGTGGATCTCAAGCAGCAGCTGGATACCAAGCAGAAGGCTCGGGTTCATCTGCAACTCGAACAAATGGAGCTCCTTCGGCAGCGTACGCCAGAGCAGGTCACCCAGGCCCCAGCAGGCAACAATGCAGCCATATTCGAGACGTTCTCGGCCACCCTCGAGCAGCTCAAGTCCTTTGTGCAGCAGTTGGGGGGTGGCGAGCAGCTTTTTGCAGCCTGTGTTCAGCATGGTCAGCCGTGGTTGGAGCAGGTCAAGAAGCTGCGATCGGAGCAGCAAGAGCGGCTGCGCGAGCAGCAGCAGCAACAGCAGCCGCCTCCTGCTGGTGGCCCTACTGCTCCACCTGCTCCTGAGGGCACTCATGTTAATGCTCCTGCACCTGAAGATATAGACGTGGAAGATCTTTGCACCTTTATCACGAGTAACGGTGGCACGCCTGCGGATACTGGTGAGGAGGTTCGCGCGCAGGTCAAGCGGCACTTGGGGTCCTTCCAGGCGTTGCTCGCCAAGAAGCCACGGACGACTGCTTAAATATGGTGTGATTGCTCTTGCAGTGATTGGCACCATGGCGGATTCTTCTAACGCGTTCGACATCGGCCACGACCTTGATGAGCTGTTCGCCGATCCAGGCATAGACCAGGGCGACTTCTTCGGCCTTGCTCATCATTCTTGCGGGCTACCCTCCGAGCTTCCACTTCCTCAGGGCGGGGGGGCGCGGGATTCAGCCCCGATTAGTCACACCCCTCCGCCCACGTGGAGTACGCCCGCAGGTTCGGGCACTTCGGCGGCGGCCAGATCTAAGGCTCCAGCTGGCCAGGGATGTTCCTCTCCTGGGTTGGAGACCTGGTCGGCATTGAGGTTGGCGCCATCACCTTCGGCGGCGGCAGAGGATCCCCAACTGGCCCGCTCTACGGGGTTGGGGGCACGAGCGAGCAGCGCGGGGGCGACTTCTACTTCGGCTACCCCAGCAGATTTCGGTTCCCGACCGCGCGGGGCCGCCGCGGCATGGGCGCCTACCCCAGCAGATTCCGGTGCCCGACCGCGCGGGGCCGCCGCGGCAGTGCCGGCTACGGCTGCGGCTTCGTGCGGTGCGCCCCCATCTTCTTCGGCGGCGTCAGCTGATCCCCAACTGGCCCGCTCATCGGGGATGGGGGGGCGAGCGAGCTGCGTTGCGGCTGCTGCTTCGTGCGTTGCGTCTTCGTCTTCGTCGGCGGCTGATCCCCAACTGGCCCGCTCTTCGGGGTTGGGGGCACGAGCGAGTTGGGTTGCGGCATCTGCTTCGCGCGTTACGGCTCCTTCTACTCCTACGGCGGCGGCCCCCGACGATGCGCGCTGCGCACCCTCTGCGGCTCTTCGTTGGCTAGTGGGGGCGGGCCCCGCCTGCGGGCAATCGGCCGAACCCCCTTTGCCAACCTATGCGTCCAAGGGCAGCGGGTGCCGACCGTCGGGGGCCACTCTGCGCGGCGAGTCAGCCGACGGCATTCATGATGGTGGTGCTGGGATTCCTCAGGCGACGGGGCTGCCCCCGGCAGTCGACGAGGCTGCTAGCTAGGGCCCAAGCAGTGCGTGATTATGGAGATATGCGTGCTGATCTCCGCGATTGGGCTGCGGTCTGGTTTGACAGCCATCTGGAACTTGAGCGCGACGATGGGCAGTGGCGACTATGGTGCGAAGCATTCTTGGATGCATTTTGCGACGCGACCAGAACCATATGAGATATTACATGTCGTGCTCCTGTCATGGTTCCCAGGCCGCACTTTGCAGTCCATCATTGAGGAACTGTGTGCCAGTGCGTGGCGTCAGTCCGAACCCCGACAACTTAGCTTCCTTGAGCGACTGGATACTCTTACACCGAGGTCACGGCAGCGGGTAGAGCACGGTCATCGGCGCGAACTCGCCGAACTTCGGGCGATGTTCAGGCGGCTGCTTGGGGACAACGCGCCCGACCGCCAGCAGCCTCCCCGACCGCGGCAGCCCGACTCTGACGACGACCAGGCGACCGACGTCGACGGCATTATCGCGCACCTCGTCATGTTAGCGAATACGGTGGCGCTGCAGGGCTCTGTTGCGAATGCGCGCGCTGCGGGCCCAGGTGTTTGGCATCTCTCATCTTCTTCGGCCCCCGCCGGTTGTTCCCGACAGCCGGCGACGGTCAAGTCTAAAGGGGAGGTGGTGACCGTCAACGTCTGTTCTCACGGCTCCCTCTTTGAGTATCTGCCTGGCCTGGACTTGGGATTCAAGGTGCTCCTTGTGCAAGAGCATCACCTTTTGCTTGACCGACTTCCGCAGGCGCAGTCTCAGGCCCAAGATCTCGGCTGGCATGGGATCTGGGCGGCTGCAACACCGAGTGCCAGCTCTGACGTCGGCGCGTCTGCAGGGGTGGCTGTGCTTGCGCGCTCGGACATTATGATTGCGGCTCCTGATTCGCCTGAGAAGGAGGTCGTCCCAGGTCGCTGTCTCTTTGCACATGTCCATTGGGGTGTTCCTGGTGGTTTCACGGTGGGCAGCATCTATATTGATACCAAGGACGGCGTGGGTGCAGTTAACACTGCGTACCTTTGGCAGGTCGTTCAAGCGTTGGCTAAGTTCAACATCGAGGGCATCGACTGGATGATCGGGGGTGACTGGAATAACCAGCCTGCGGAGTTGTTCGCTACGCGATGGGCGGCGGCGGCTTCTGCGACCCCTTACTGTCCGACGGTGCCTACTTGCCGCCAGGCCTTACCTGGCACTGCTCTTGATTACTTTTATTGTATCCTCTAGCTTGGCAGCACGAACTGACTCGGAGCTTCAGGTGGATGAAGGGGCCCAACCCCTACCCTCACTGTCCTGCGCATCTTCGCCTCACGGCGCAGGACTATCCGCTCTGGCAGCTTGTGCCCCGGCTTCCGAAGGAGCTGCCCCTGGAGGCGCAGATTGGCTGCGCTCGATTTCCTTTGGAGTGGGATCAAGGCTTAGTTGACGCTGCTGATGATGCTGCAGGCCTAGCTGCTGGAATGGACACACTCATGCGTGGCGTTGAGAAGGAGCTCACCAACCGATATGATCATGTTGGCCCTGCTGCCATGCGCTATGCTGGTCGGGCAGGGGCCCCCGAGTTTGCATGGCGGCAGGTCAAGTGCCCCCCCCCCCCCCCCCCCCCCCTCAAGCGCACTTACAAGCGACCGATCACACTTGCTTGGAAGACGGCGCTCCGATGGATGCTGCACATTCAGAAGGAGCGCGATCGGTTGCAGACTATGGTTCCCCAGCTTCAGATGGCCAATGTATTCTGTTGCATCGAGCCTCGGCAATGTTCTGTACTCCTACAGGCCTTCAGTGAGGTCAGCGGATTTCTGCGCAATGCGATGCGCAGCCAGGTGGTTGTTCAGCAGCTGCCTTCTGCGGTCCAGAGATTTCTTGGATCAGGCTTGCAGGTCCTTGCTGACGCTCGTTTCCAGGAACTCAGGACAATGATTGGCACCGAGGCCACCAGACTCCGCAAGGAAGATCAACGGGCTTCCCACCAGGCCT